TTGTTGAAAAACTTTCTTTTTTTTTCTTTTTTCCATTTATAATTTTTTTGTTTAATTGTTTTTTTTTCTATTTCTTCATTTTTTTTTCCTCCTCCTTTCCATTCATTCCTTCTTTTCCCATTCCATCCGGGATATTTCCTTTTACCAACTCCTTTTTTCCCTACGCCCCCGAAAAGTAAATACGTAATACATACACCGAATAACAATTTTTTTTTTTTTTTTAAGATGGTGGTGTCGGCGTTCGAGTTTCGTCGTAAAATCTTCCTAGCCTTGAAATTTTTTTTTTTTTCCTTCGGCATTTCCATGGTAACTAATACCTTATAATTTCCACATCGATTTCACCAATTTAAAAATTCGAATTCCAGCGATGGAAAAAAAAAATGAAGGAGAGAGAGAGAGATGAAAAAAATCAAATAAGGAAAACATTGTTCGTAATATTTTACACGCGAGTGCCGTCGCTTCCACAAGTGCGGCAAAATAATTTTTTTTAATCGGACGCGGCAAACAAAAAATTTTCCTTTTCCATTTTTTTCTTTTCACAATGCCGTTCCAGACGACGCGTTCGAAATCAAAAAAAAAAAAAAAATAGTATTTTTTACGCACTTTTTTTTTCCCAAAAAAATTTTCATTTCGAATCTTCTTCTTTCCTTTTCCCCTCTCCTCTCTTTCTCTCTCGTTCTCTCTCATTGTCTTTCATTTATTTCATTTTATTTTTTTTTTTTGTTGTTTCCTTTTCCTTTTCCCGGTTTGACCCGATTCGAATTAAAAAAAAAATGAAATAAAATAAAATTCAATAAACGGTTGGCGGGCGTACGTACGTATAAATACATTTTCGACATCATTACTTTCGGGAAAGGGGGAATGGGGAGACAAAAAAAAAAAGAAAAAAATTTTTTTTTTTTTTTAAGCGCTCGACGGACGTATCGTAACGTCTTCCGAGCCATTTCCCGATTTTCATTATTATTATTATTATTATTTTCATCCCTCTTTTATGATGCGATTTTTAAAATGATTGATGGTATCTTTTATCGCAAATTTCAAGTTTTTTCCCCCTCCCCTTCCCACGTTATTTTTTTAATATTTTGGCAAAGATTTTTTTTTCATTATTACAAATTGTCATTTTTTTTTTTTTCGCTTAATATCTCACTCGCTCACACTGCGACAACAAATTGAAACAAACAAACAAAACAATCGAGAAAACGTTTTTACGCTTTCCTATCGATAAATTAATTTTTTATTTTTATTTTTTTACTCCGTAAATAATAAAAATCACGAGAAAATCGACTTTTAAAATTGTTTTTTTCCTCCCCCTCTCTCACAAACGATCGATTACAAAAAATAATAATAATAAAACGTACGTTCGACAACCGAACGTGCGTGAGATAATAATTATTTAAAAATTAAAAATAATAATAATAATAATAATAATAATAATCTGATCGTCGCAAATTTTATATAATCGAGAATTTAAAAGTCAAAACGGGTTTAAGTTATTAAGAAACGATTAAATTATAATTAAAACGTTGAAAATAAATTAAGATGATAAAAGTTCGTTTCAAAACGATGACGACGACGACGATGATGATGATGTAGGAAATTAAGTCGGAAAATGAATGACGGTAAATGACGGTCGCGTCGTTTGGGCGTAACCGTTTAATAATGCGATGATGATGATGATACTAATAATAATAATAATAATTAAAAAAAACAAACAGACAGATAGATAGATAGCCGCAAAAAAAGAGAAGAAAAGAAACAGATAAAAAATCTAAAATAAATTTTCTTTTATTCGAAATCAATATTTTATTTTAAAACATTTTTTTTTCTCGAGTAAATTTATTGTTTGTTTGTTTGTTTGTTTGTTTGTTGACAAATTTTTTTTTTATTCACTTCCAACAACAGCACGCGGGCAAACTCTCGAGAATAAAAAAAAAAATTTAAAACGTTTTAATGAAATAAAACTTTTATGCGTTCGGCATTTAAATGAATGCAAGAGAAAAAAAAAAAATTCAATCATTGCCATTTATTCATACGAACGCGAAAAAAAATAAAAATTTTTTTTCTTCAGCTGTGTAATTTAATGATGATGACGCCTACGACCATGATGATGATGATGATGATGATGATGATGATGATGATGATGATGATGATGATGATGATGGTGGTGGTGGTGATGGTAACGTTCGATGACGTTTTTTTGTTTAAAAAAAAAAAATCGGTCATTTATATTTACAACATTTCAACCGTTCGAAAACCAAACGACAACAACGCAATTGAAAGGAGGTGGGTCGAGGGGGGGGGAGGAGCAAAAGAAAGAAAAGAAAAGAAATTTCTAGAACAAACATTTCGTAGGATAAAAAATAAAAAATAAAAGTTTGGAGACGTATTATTTAAAAAGCGAAGTCTTGAAATCTTTTTCTTTTCGCGTCAATATTGACTTTTTTTCTTTTCGGTCGTGCTTTTTTCCAAAAAAGAAGATTTTCAACAAATGATCACAATTATCTTTTATTCCGTACTTTTTTTCTTCTGAACAAAAAAAGAAAAAAGAAAAGAAATATGGCGAAAGTTTCACATCTTAATAACTATCACAATTTTTTTTTTCTTTTTCTTTCAAAGGTGAAAAGAAATGAAAAATGCTTTTCGTGAGAATGAAGCGGATAAAGGAAAAAAAAAAAAAAAATTGATTTCGTATACGTAAATCCTCACTCGCGTGCAAGTAAATAATAATAATAATAACAATTACTTTTAAAATTCAAATCGTGCCTGAAACTACCTATTATCATCGATACGCATAAACTGGATTTAAAAAAAAAAAAAAAATTTATTACCTTTCAAAACCTTTAAAAAAAATAATAATAAAAGAAGTCGTGTAAATAGATTTTTTTTAAAAAAATTTCATTGATGCAGACAAGCAGAAGGCGTTTAAAATTTTTTTTTTTTTTGAAAAATTGAACCTTTTGTACGTTTCGACCTGCCGACAGGGACCGGCAGATGTTTTACCGTTGAAAGAATTTTTATTTATTTATTTATTTTTGACAGGTTATAAAATAAGTTATATTTTTTGCGAGGAGGAAGAAAAAAAAAATTGTGTTATTCTTTTTGAAATTAAAAAAAATTCGCTTGGAATCACCTCTGAATGTCACGCCACGCCACGTCACGCCACGACGCGACGCGACACGATACGGGATTTCCTTCAGAGTTATCGAGAGCTCAATAATAACAAAACCGGGAGAGTAAAAAAAAAAAAATCCCAATAGCAGACGACGGTTATATTTCTTCGCGTGTGACGCGCGAATGCGTTTCGAATTTTCCGAAAAAAAAAAAAGAAAAAAAAAATTATTTTTGTAATCTCGCGAGTATTAATTTCTTCCCACACGATGTTAAATAAAAAAAAAAATTTTACACATAGCGCAAACTCATATATTTTTCCCAACTCCACATCCATCTCCTCCAATCCCAAACAACCTTCACCCCCTCCAGCCCCCGAAATCCCAACCGCTTATTTAATTATCGCAACTGACGTCACGTCGAGGGGGGCGAAGGGGATTCGGAATAAAAATTACAAAAAAAAAAAAAATTAATTCGCATTTAAATTACGTAATTTAATTTTTTTTTTGACCAAACATTGTAAAGGTGCGTACGTAAAAAATAAAAATTAAGTTGATGGTAGCCAACACAAGCGAAAAAAAAAAAAATAATAATAATATAAAATTTACAAAAATAATAATAATAATAATAAAATGAAATGGTAAAACAACAAAAAAAAATCAATAAGACAAATAATATACATAAAAATCTTTTTGACGTCATTCCAATCGTTTTGAAAGCAAGAAAGAAAGAAAAATGCGTAAAACTTTACTCTATGACCCCCCGTCCCCCGTCCCCGCCTACCCGCACTCCTTTCCATTTTTAGGGAATTTTTTTTTTTTTGTGAAAAATGAATCTTTTATACTAAAAAAAAAAAAAAAGTTTCGTTCGTATAAAACTTTTTTTATATATTTGATTACAATAATTATGATAATAGAGTTGTATTTTTTTTTTTTTTAAAAAAATTTAAAACGTATTTTTATTAGTTTTAATAAAGTAAACGATTCTTTTTTTTCTTTTTGCTCGTTTGTTTGTTTGCCATGTTTAAACATAAAGAAAATTGTCGGCGTTTTGATTTCCTAAGAGTATGGTGATTATTATGATAAGTAATCCTTTGAGGAAAAAAAAAAAAAAAAAAAAAAAAAAAAAAGGAAAATTTTAATGCGTTTTTCGGTGGTGCGAAAGAAAGAACAAAAGTTGATTACTTATAACAAAAAAAAAACTACAGTAAAAGAGATAACAAAAAATATAACAATTAAAAGTAATGTTATATTATTATTATTATTATTATTATTATTATTATTTGCCGTTTGTTTCAACAAACAAATCGAAAAAAAAAAATTTTCTTTTCAGCATTTTATATAAAAAATTATTCTCTCATTTAAAAATCAGCTTATTTAAGCTTCTTATAATTTTTAATAAGAAAAAAGATTAATTAATTAATACGTTACACGTAATTAAAGGAAAAAAAATTATTAATAATAACAATGATAATGATAAAAAAGTTCGATTTGTCTTTTTTTCCCGTAATTTTTTATTTTTCCTTTGTTAGTAGTAGTAGTATACGCTTATAACGGTAGTAGTTATTGTTAGAAGAAAAGTTTGATTGATTACACTTTGCTAGCTTTTTACCAAAAAAGGTCGTGTGTTAAAACAATGAAATGATTAATGATTTGGGTTTTTCAAAAATTTTATGTTTCATTATGAATAAGCAAAGTTTTTCAAACGGAAAGAATATCTATATGCTCCCATCTCACCCCCTCCCCCTCCCCCTCCCCCGATCTCATCCCTTTTGAAAAAAAAAACAAAGAGACGACTATAGCAAAAAAATTAATAATATACCGAAAATTTCAAAAAATTTTTCTTTCTTTTTTTAAAAAAAATTTAAGTTTATGAATTTTTTTTAAACTCACCTCGCTCCGATAAGAAGGTGGCCGCCATCTTTTACAACGAGACGAAAATAATCTGTGTGTGATTTATTTCCCTCGAATCTGAACACGTCTTCGGTACCTGAAAATTTAAAAAAGAAAAAAATTAAAATAATTTTTTTTTTTAAAAAGGAGAGAAGAAAGGGGGAGAGGATTTCAAATATTTTTATTACATTAACTACATCTCTCTCTATCTCTCTCTGTCTCTCTCACTCTTTAAATTAATATTTTAATACCTTAATCAGTATTAATTTTCTATAAAATGTAATTGTAATATGATTAATTAATAATAATTTTTTTTTTGTTTTATCCCTTAACACCATCACTACGTCTTTCAACCCTTTCCCAACAACAACAATAATAATAATAATCATCAGGAAAAAAAACAAATAAATTACTTTTGCATTTTTCATAACCTACGCACAACATTTGTCTTAATAAAATATATATAAAAAAAAAAAAGAGGGCAGAGTGTGAAAAAAAACATAATAAATAAACGTCCGAAAAAAAAACAAAAAAAAAAAAAGAAAAGAAAACCATGAGATAAAAAATTGGAAAAAAATAATAATAATAATAATAAAAAGCTCTAGTAAAAATAAAAAAAAATAAAAATTGATGCTCTACAAACATATATAAATAATAAATTTGCTGCATAAACGCAAAAGTCGAAACATCCGACCGACCTTTACATATAAAAACATTAGAAAATTGTTATGGATGAAAACCGCAAAGAAAAAAAAAAAAAAAAAAAAAAAAAAAAAACAAATACAACAAATCTCTGACCACGTCACGCATCAAAGAAAAAAATGGAAAAATGGATAGAAAACCAAAAAAAAAAAAAAAAGCAGGAAAAAGAAAAGAAAATTGAAAAAGAAGTGAAAGAAGAATTTTCCTTTTTCTTTTTCCTTTTTTTTTTTTTTTAAATCGAAAAGGAATATATGATGGGTAGCAACATTACGAATATTTATATTTTTCCAACGACTTCCGCTTTTTTCCGTATTAAAAAAAAAATAATAATAATAATGACAAATTCACATTACAAACGATTCAAGGAAAAAAAAAGCACCGAATCGAAATTAATGAAAAATAATAATGACAATAATAATAAAATCAATAAATCGATAATTTATGATTAATTACTTTGTAAATTATTTCAAATTCGATAATCACAAATAAAAAATCAATAAAACGTTTTTATTATTATTATTATTCTTTTTCCTTTTTTTTTCTTTCTTTTTCACATTTTAAAAAATTTTCAAACTTAATATTTATTTATAGTTTCAAATTAAAAATTAATTTTCAATTAAATTCTAATTAATAATTTTTTTAAATTTTTATTACAATAAAAAAAGAAAGAAAGAAAGAAAGAAGGAAAATAATAATTTAATAACAAAATAATAATAATAATAATAATAATAATAACGATAATAAATCGCGTAGGCACAAGTGTAATATTCAATTTACGTCACTCATTCATTCATTTTTAATATGTGAAAAAAAAATTATTATCGTTATAACAATCGCTTCGAATCGATTAAGGAAAAAAAAAAATGTCTCGCGTTAACAAAAACAAATCAACAAACAACAAACATTTAACAGGGAGCCCTTGTATTATTATTTTTTTTTTCCTGTCGTTTAAACTAAATAAAAATCCAACGGCGGCGGTGGTTGTTGTTGTTGTTTGATTTCAAGTATAATCAGCTTTATTTTTTTTTCTTTTGCCCCCTCCCCCCTCTCGGTATTTTTTTTTTATTTTACAAACCGCCATAATTAACAAATTTTCCAATCGTTTTATTAACTAAATTCGTGCATGAAAAACCAAAGGAAAATTTTTCCCCCCGCGCATAGGATAAAAATTAATCGTTTTGCGACAAACAAAATTTTGTGATGAAACAAACAAAAAAAATAAATATATATATGTACGTTTAACTAATTACGTTCAACAACGTCGTTCTCGTTAAAAAAAAAAAAAAAAAATGATAATAATAAAAATCATTTTACGCCCTTTTGACCTCATACGAATTCACGTCGCATTTCGCCTTAACTTACTCCCCCCCCGGCGTGTTTTCCTCACCGACTCCCACACACACAAATGCGCGCGCATCCACACGGATGAAAATAAAAACAAAAAAAATTTTTTTTTTCTCTCACTCTCTCCATTTTCCATTATTATTATTATTTTTTTTTTTAGAAAAACGAATCGTTCAATTTAATAAAAATAAAACGTACGTACGTATGTAAATAAATAAATAAATAAATAAATTTACATAAGAAAATTTTGTTTTTAAAAAAAAAAAAAAAAAATTAAACTTTCGAACCATTAAAATATTTGTCAATGTCAAAATATTTACTGCTCGAGATATTCGAATCCTTTTTTTTCCGATAAAAAAAAAAAAATAAGAGAGAGAAAGAGAGAGAAAACCTTTTAATAAATGTTTTTCTAACTCGTTAATCATTATTAAAAAAAAAAAGAGAGAGAGAGAGAGATAGAAGGTGAAGCAAACAAACATTTTCTTCTTTTTTTTCCCCAGAATTTTCCACGCCACTTTTATTTTTAAAAAAATTAATACGTAAAAATTCTTCTTGATCGAATCATACAGAATGGTTTAAAATCGAGAGAGAGAGAGAGAGAGAGATACACGTGCACACGCACGTACACACGCACGCACAGATAAAAAAACTATTTTTTTATTTTTATTTTTTTTTTGTGGAAAATTGTTTCAAACCGAATCAAAGGTCAAAAACAAACGAGAAACATTTTTTTTTTTTTTTCCTTTTTACGTTTTTTATTTTTATTTTTTATTTTTTCTGTGATGTTTTTCGAAGGAGGACAGGTTGTCGACAGAGAGAGAGAAAGAGAGAAAACTCACACACATATACTTTTTGATTCGGAAAAAAATAAAACCACAAAGAAAGTGAAGAGAGAGAGAGAGGGGAAAAACTGAATATTTTCCGTGAGAATAATTTTATTTTATTTTTTTTATTAGTTTTTGATTTTTTTCCTTTTTTTTCCTTTTTTTTTCCTTTTCGATAAAACATCTCGACGGATTTTTTTTTATTTTTTACCGAGTTTATCGACAAAATTTTTCAACCGGATAATTTTTTCTTTATATATATATATATATATATATATATTTTCAGTATATATATATAAAAAAAAACATGAAAAGAATCAAATTCTGGGATCTCGAATAAAAAAAAAAAGAATAATATTAATAATAATAATTTTCCTCCGGATTTGAACCGAAGAAGGTTAATTTGGATTTTTTTAACCGTGAAATCACATGAAATTAAAAAAACATTGACGTAAAAAAAAAAAAAAAAATTTTTTTTTTTTTTAGGTCGTTTCTTTTATATTTTTAACCCTTTGAGGAATTCCAACGTTTTTTTTTTTTTTTTTTTTTTTGGTTGGAAAAACAAGAATCGCAAGAAAAAAAAAAAATATTACTATTCAAGTCTCATCGTATTTTATACACAAACTGACGCGGGGATCAACCAATCGCAACAACAACAACAACAACAATAACACACAAAAAAAAAAAAAAACTTTTTGTTGTTGTTGTTGTTGTTGTGTGTTTGATTTCTTTTTGATAGTTTAAAACGCGAATGAGCGTCTACGTGATAAATATTCGTCTGCGTCTTCAATAACGTATATTAAATTTAAAAAGCGAAAATAAAGAAAAACAAACAACAAACAAATAAAAAAGGAAAAAAAGGGGAGACAAAAAAAAAAAAACGTGCTTCGATTGTTTTCTCCGTTTTTCTGCGAGTGTGTAATAATAATAAATAGCATTAAAAAACAAATACAATGACAAATTAAATTGGTTGCGGTTGTTGTTTCGTAAAAACCAAATTTTAACTTCGACAAACAAACAAAAAAACGCCATCATACAAACAACAACCAACCTCATATCAAAACCATATTTTATTCGAATAATAAAATTACATCGAACGAGAAACGATATTTTTTTTATTTTTATTTTTTATTTTTATTTTTTATTTTTATTTTTATTTTATTTGCTCTTTTTCTTCTTCTTCTTTTTCTCCCTTTTGAAATTTTATTAAAATAAAAAAAAAAAAATTTTTTTATTTTTTAAATCCCTCAGGTGAAATTCAGGTGTTGAACAAAAAAAAAAAAAAAAAAAAAAAAAATTACAAATTATTTTCTCCAACACTTATTAAATGAGAAATTTTATTTTTTATTTTAAAAAAATAAACGGAAACGTTCGTGCAAAAAAAAAAATTAGCAGACGACAAATAAGTTTTCATTTATTTATTATTTTATTTAAAAAAAAAATATATATATATATATATTAATAAAATTTTTGTATTGATCAAACTTTTTTCCGCTCTTTTTTTTTCCAACCCCCCCCCCCCGAACGCCACGGGAACTTTTTTTTTTTTAAACCCTTTCGGAAAGATAAAAAAAAAAAAAAAAAAAAAAAAAAAAAACCGATTTTAATTTTTTTATGTCATGTGATTTAAAAATAAAATTTATAAAAAAAAAAATTCTACCACCACCGCCACCACCGCTCTGCTATCCTCAAAAAAAATAAAATAAAATAAACGAAAAAGGTTCTCTTCATCGTTTGTGGTAGTTTTCTCACCACGTTTTTTCCCTTTCCTTTTATTTTCCTTTTTCTCCCTTCCCCTCTCTTCCCCCTCTCACCATTCCCTTCGTTTTGCCTCCTGTGATTTTAAACTTCAATATGAATAAAAATTGCAATTTTTCCAGCTGGAACTTTTCCAATACAAACTTTTCGGTTTAAAAAAAAAAATAATAAAAATAAAAAAATAAAGAAATGAAAAGAAATGAAAAACGGAAAAAAAGAAAAAGGAGAAGAAAAAAAGAGAAAAAAAAAAAAGAAAAACTTTCTCTCTTTTTTCTTTCTTCTTACACGTGAAATTTTTTTTTTAACATTTCCAATTATTAAAACATTTATCATTTTGTGTCATTCATCGCCTTACATGTTTTCTTTTTTTTTTTTTTTTTTAACGGATCAAAATGAAAACAACTATGACGTATTTATCGACCGATAAGATTATCAATTCCGCGACCTTTTGGAAAAAAAAAAAAACCCCGAAAACTTATTTACGAGTTTTTATTAAATAAATGTAACAACCGTTTCGTCGTTTTTGATCAAATAGAAAGTTTAATTTTTTAAAGGAAAATATCCATTCGATCGTAGTGCGAAAAACGCGCGTAATCGAATTATATTTATTTTAGGGAAAAAATATTTCAAAGGGAAAAAATCTTTCACCCTTGCGAATATGTCTGGTGGTAGAATTTACATTCCCAGGGGTAGGTTAAAACGCACAAACACACACACAAATAAAAGTCTAAGACAAATATTTAATAAAAAAAAAAAAAAAAAAAAAAAAGATAGGAAATAAATCTCGTCAGATTAATTATTACGACGGGGAGAAAA